GAGACTCTAATTTCAACTAGAGGTGAGTTCACTGTAGATTCTACACGAGTCGTATCATCTAGTATATCGATTTCGTAATAGGTTGAGTTCCATTCGCATAGAACGTGATAGCTCCTGTGATGAAAGAATGATTTTGTGGTTCGCTACACGACATCCATAAAGAGATTAGAGAGCCCTCACTTGTCTTCATATTTTTTTCCAACAATTATGTTTAGATATGAATTTCTCTCAAACTTGAAGTAACATTGCTATAAAAAACGTTTTTAATTCATTCGAAACAAAAAGAAAAGTTATTCGAAACAAAAAAAGAAAAATAGATTTGTCTTGTTTTGTTCGTTTCTATATTAGTTATATTTTTATTTTAATGTGATGATATTTTGCAGGTTTATGGCTTCTCAAGATCACGTTNATGGCAGTAGTGGCTCTGGGAATTCATCAAATCAAAGTGGTGATGAAGCTCCTTATTGGAAACATGTCACTAAGTTGGAAAAAGTGGGAGCAAAAGGAGGAACTTGGTTATTTCAGTGTAATATTTGCAAAGAGATTCGACAAGGTTCTCATTCTAGAGTGAGGGCACATTTACTGAAAATTACCAATAGTGGAATTGCTATTTGTAGNAAAGTGACTAATATTCAGATAAACGAGATGAGAAGAGTGGAAAACGAGTTTGAGCAGAGAAAAATTGGGTCTGGATCTAGAGAAGTTCCTTTGCCTTGCGAAACTNGAAATTCTTCAAAGAAAAGAAGGCCTAGCGTGTCACCTATTGAGAAAGCATTTGGTGTTGAAATCAGGCATCAACTGGATCAGGAAATTGCAAGAATGTTTTACACGGGAGGCTTGCCATTTAATCTTGCAANAAATCCTCATTATCATCGTTCTTATCAGCTTGCCGCCGAGCACAAAATTGCCGGTTACATTCCTCCTGGTTACAATAGGCTCAGNACAACCTTACTTCAAGAAGAAAGAAACAATGTTGATGGATTACTACAGCCGTTGAAAGCAANANNNNAANAAAAAGGGGTTTCAATTGTGACAGATGGTTGGAGCGACCCTAAAAGAAAACCTCTTATCAATTTCATGGCTACTTCTGGAAGTGGACCTATTTTTCTGGAGGCTGTGAATTGTTTTGGTGAAGTAAAAGATAAGAACTTTATTTCTCAGTTNATGGAGAAAGTTATCAATCAGATTGGTCACCAAAATGTTGTGCAGATCATCACATATAATGCATCTAATTGCAAAGCTGCTGGTGAGATTATCGAGAGCAGGTATCCTCATATTTATTGGACTCCATGTGTTGTCCATACTCTAAATCTTGCATTGAAGAATATCTGTGCAGCAAAGAATGTGGAGAGCAATCAGGAAACATATGACGAGTGTAGTTGGATAACTATCGTTCATGATGATGCTTTGGCAATAAAACATTTCATCATGAACCANAATATGAGGCTAGCAATTTTTAGTAAGTTCTCTCCTCTNAAANTGCTATCNGTCGCTGACACTCGCTTTGCCTCAGNTATTGTAATGCTCAAGAGAATGAAGCTTATCAAAACGGCTCTTCAAACCATGGTCATAAGTGAGGAGTGGTCTTCTTATAGAGAGGATGATCCGGGGAAAGCAATCTTTGTNAAAGATAAGATTTTGGATGATGAGTGGTGGGAACAAATTTCTTATATTCTTGATTTCACAGGATCCATATATGAGATGATCAGAGCTTGTGACACCGACAAGCCATGTCTTCATTTGGTATATGAGATGTGGGATTCTATGATTGAGAAGGTAAGGGTTGAGATCTACAAGAAGGAGAAACGACAAATGTCTGAATTTAGCCTCTTCTATGACGTCGTTTATGAAATCTTAATGGCTCGTTGGACAAAGAATAACACTCCTCTACATTGCCTAGCCCACTCTTTAAATCCCAGGTAAATGGTTTTAAACAA